CTTTCTAAAGATCAAGAAGGGATTCAAGGATATTATTTACTAAAACAATATCAAAGGTATGCAATCAAACTTTTAGATTTCAATTATAGGGTTTCTTGTTTTAAGTTTTATACGTATGTTGCTATTACTGTGTAAAGACATAGATCATTTAGGTTACATGTACCCTTAAGTATTTAAGTGATTTTTCCGCATGTACATTGAATTTGTAACCTATAAATTCCATCATATTCAACAAAACCGAGTCTTCCAATCGAGGAGGAGAATCAAGTCGTGGTGGTCGGGGAGGTCGTGGTTCGGGACGCGGAGGTTGAGGAGGATGTCACAACAATACTTATCAACAAAATTGAACCAACGACGATTCCGAAAAGTCAAAAAGGAAGAACAAAGATCGTTCCAAAGTACAATGCTATAGGTGTGACAAGTTTAGTCACTTTGCATCATAATGCCCAGAACGAAAAGCCAAGCAAGAAGAAGCGCATGTATCTGATATTGAAGATAAAGATTCACACCTTTTTATGGCTCAAAACCTCTACAAGAAAGTTTTATTAAATGAAGAAGATTTTATACCAAGAAAATTAGAAAATCAAGAAAACAACAATGATACTTGGTACTTGGACAACGGTGCAAGTAATCATATGACATGTAATCTATCTTTCTTTACCGAACTTAATAAAAGAATTAGAGGTAGAGTAAAATTTGGTGATGACTCTTTTGTCGAGATACATGTAAAAGGATCTATCTTGTTCGAGAGTGAATGGGGAAGTGAAAAGTTACTAACTGGTATTTATTATATTCCGAGACTTAGAATTAATATTATCAGTTTAGGACAAGCAACCGAAAATAGATGTGATGTGTCAATGAAAGGTGATTACCTACACATTTATGATAGCCGAAATACTCTTTTATTTAAAGTAAAACGTTATGCGAACCGTATCTATAAAACAAAAATCAAAGTGGGAAAACCAATTTGCTTACACGCCTGTCTTAGTGAGCAATCGTGGTTATGACATGCTAGATTAGGGCATACAGACTTTGATAATATTTTAGCTATGTCAAAAAAGAACTTGTCAAAGGACTACCCTCCATCTCCGAATCAAATCAACTTTTTGAGTCATGCTTAGTTGAAAAACAAACAAGAAGCAATTTTTCGAAAAAGGCTTCATATCGAGCCGAGAAAGTTCTAGAGCTCGTGTATGGAGATCTTTGCGGGCCGATATCACCATCAACAATTGCCAGAAACAGGTATATCTTCGTTCTTATCGACGATTACTCAAGGTTTATGTGGAGTTCTCTTATGAAAAAAAAACAAGGCATGAGTTCAACAAACTTTGTGAAGATCATGGTATAATACGACACCTCATAGATCCTTACACACCACAACAAAACGGGGTGGTAGAGAGAAGAAACTGCACACTCCTCGAGATGACAGAAAGCATGTTAAAATCCAATTATCTTTGGGGAGAAGCAATTCGACATGCAACCTACATCATAAATAGGTTACCAAAAAAAGCTCTAAAGGAACTCTGTATGAAAAATATTATCATCGTAAGGCTAACATCAAACACGTACAAATTTTTGGGTCACTAGCTTATGTAAAAATCACAACTCCTCACCAAAAGAAGCTAGATGATCAGTCTAAAAAGATGGTGTATTTTGGGCCCAAACCTGGGTCTAAATCTTATTACATGTATGATACGAAGCTGCGAAAAATCACAGTGTCACGAGATGTTATTTTCGATGAAAACTCAAGCTGAAGTTGGGAAAAAGAAGTCGAGCCTACACTAGAACCTGGTATGCTTTGGGTTCATTGGTCGGAGTTGGTCGATGCCGAAAAGGGACCAGGAGCGGGTGAAGCACACGAAGACACAAACAAAACCGAGCAAGGTGAAGAAAGAGAGTCAAGATCACAACCGATGCCACCTCCAATAAATACAGAAATGGTTGTACAAGATGAAGTTCTACAATTACGAAGGTCGAATCGCAACACACAACTTCCAAGAAGATATGATGATTTCAAAGTTGACTTCTACATTGAGAATCACGAGCTACTTTTAGCTCTCTATGAAGATGAACCAACAACTTACCATGAAGGCAAGTCGAATCCCTTATGGGTAAAAGTAATGGAAGAAGAAATCGACTCAATTGAGAAGAATGAAACTTGGAAACTTGTAAAAAGACCATACGACAAACCATTATTGGATTAAAATGGGTCTATAAAGTAAAAAGAGATGCAAGCATCTCAATTAGCAAGTACAAGGCTAGAATTGTAGCAAAAAGGTATCTTCAACAACACGGTATCGATTTCAAAGAAGTTTTTACATATGTAGCGCGAATCGAAACTGTTAGAAGTTTAATAGCACTAGCTGCTTCAAAAGGATGGGAATTACATCATGTAGATATGAAATATGCATTTCTACATGGTAAATTAAAAGAGGAAGTGTATGTAGAAAAACCTAAAGATTTTGAAAAAAAAAAGGAAGAATTTCGTGCTCAAGCTCATAAAAGCGTTATATGGTTTATGTAAAGCTCCTCGTACGTGGAACACGAAGTTGGACGAAATTCTTAAAAATATGAAGTTCCAAAGGTGCGTGCAAGAACAAGCATATACTGAAGGAAAATAGATTCCGATCTAATTCTAGTTGGAGCGTACGTTGATGACTTGGTCATTACGGGAAAAATCGTGTCAATTATAAACAAGTTCAAGCAAGCAATGACAATGAACTTTGGTAGGAGTGATCTTGGAATATTGCGATATTACCTAGGAATAGAGGTGTATCAAAAGAAGGATAACATACTAATTACGTAAGAAGGGTAGGGAAAAAAGGTGCTCAAAGACACGGGGATGTATGACCGCAATCCTACGTGCATCCAAATGTGAAATTCTCGAAAGGAGAGGGCAAGGAAGACACAGATGCAACTGAATATTGAAGCCTAGTTTGGAAGATTGAAATATTTACTTCAAACACGGGCTAATTTGGCTTACTCAATTGGCATTCCTAGTCGTTGTATGCAAACTCCAAAGAAGTCACACATGGATGCTATAAAACAAATATTGCGATATGTAAAAGGTACTATCGGGTATGTGATTCGTTACAATCATAATAATCTAATAAGTCTAGTTGGGTATTGTGATAGCAGTCACAACATTGATCAAGATGATGGAAGAAATACCACTGGGCATGTTTCTACTTTGGTGAATTACCAATCATGTGGTTCTATAAAAAGCAAGAAACAGTGGCGTTATCATCTTGTGAAGCTGAGTATATGGTTGCATATGTAGCAAGTTGTCAATCAGTTTGGTTACGAGATCTTTTGGGAGAAATAACTGGTTCTCTAGTACAAGAAGTGGTAATTAAAGTTGAAAACACATCAACAATTTTATTAATTAAAAACCCAGTTTTTCATGGTCGGAGCACGCACATCAAATCTCGTTTCCACTACATACGAGAACGAGTTGAAGAAAAGAAGATCACAGTCAAGCATATCAACGAAAAGGAACAATGAGCTGACAATTTGCGAAAGGCGTTTGCTAAGATAAAGTTCGTTGAAATGCACAAGCTGCTAGGAATTGAAGACCTCTCAATTTCCATTTAAAAATTAAGGGGTGATTAGTGGTAATTTCTGGTTCTACCCTTCGATACACGATGAGGTGTAGGAATGATATTTCCTTGGGCAACAAATAGACTTAAGAAAACGCTTAGGGATCAAGCAAATCGGTTGCTTATGGAACAAGCATGTATTATATATGGCAAGTTTGTATTCAAGTAAGAAACAAACTAGGATGCTATTATCAGCTATATATACATCGAAACATGTAGGTTTTGATCATCAGAAAAGTGAGAGTAAGAGATGAGAGATTGTAATCAATTTTGAGTTATTTTCTTAATTACAATAAGAGTTTATTTCTTACATTATTATGTTCATATTTTTCTGTTCATCAATTATGAAAACATGTAATTCGTGAAGGAGGTTGCAAAGCCAATAAATCCCAACAACATCATTGGTGACACATTGGTACTCGGTCTAGAAATAACGATATGTTGTTTAGTGGACTAAGATGTCATAGTACTACCTACAAACACACAACATCCAGATGTTGAACGTCTAGAAAAGCAACAACCTCCTCAATCAACATCAAGATAGGTAATAAGGCTCGTAATAAGGAAGACATGAAGCTGTAAACCATGGTTAAAAGTGTCTCCTATGTAATTTAAACCAAATAATTTCTAACACTATTTTATAGGTTCGTTAATTTTGAAGGCCCATTACAAAAAAGAGTAAAAATGAGCACCTAAATTTTTATATGTATAAACAAAATTCATTCCTACTACGGAGTAAAAATGAGCACCTAAATTTTTATATGTATAAACAAAATTCATTCCTACTACGATAAGATTCGATACCTAATAAACCGGGAGTCGCTAATTAGATTAATGATTAGGATTAAAACTAATACGTCGCTAAGTCCTTCACTAATTTCGTTGTTTACGTGTTTCTATAACGAACTTTCAATTTTGTTCACATTTAGTCACATAAATTTTTTTCATGCTTGATTTACTAATGAATTATTTGAAATAGTTCACATTTTACTCTTATGACAATTTGTAAACAGTTATAAGGGTAAAATATGAACAATTTCAAATAATTCATTGATAAATGAAACATGAAAAAAAAATTAATGACTAAATATGAACTAACTTAAAGTTTAGTGCCCTTTCAAACCATTATCCCTTTAAGAAAACCCATCTTATTGGATTATTATGAATCGAAGCACATTAACCCTGCAGTGAGATTGAACCACAAACGTACATAAGGTGATAGATGTTCCTTCAACCCTTCAACGGCTAGTTGACTAGTTCTAACAAAAGCCCACGCAAAGCTAAAACACAGGTTATCAGGATATTTCCAACCCAAGTTTATTTATTTTTAGAAAGTAAAAAAGAAAATTAATTATATCCGGCACAGTTCTAACCTTTTTTTTTATCAAAAATAATACTATATTTTTTTTTTCAATCTTGTGTGTTTTCGTATGGTAATAAAAAAAAGACTGTATCATTGTATGTTTACATTTACAATCATATAAATTTCAGAAATCATAACGTAATCACATCCCCTCCCCTATAAATAACCACAACTCACCTACCTCAACATATTAACAAATTAAAAAAAAATATCAATCTCTTACCTTCATTCCCTCTGAGCTGGCAACGAAGCCGATCTGGTAATAGTTTCCGGAACAAAGCTGGGTGAAGCCGAAGAAGACACAGAGGCACAAGGCCGAAGAAGTGGTGTCCCAACCCGACTAGAGTTTTCATTAGCAGCAAATGAGGAATTGCCACGTGGCGGTAACTCAATTTCCAGACCCTCGCCACGTGGCAAGCGGGCCCGCGGGCTATCCAGCTCACGGTGCTCTAATTCCTCAACAGATATGACTGTGCTTGTATCCGTGTGAACCGTTGAATCATCTCCATATATGCCTAACCGCCTTCTCCTTCTCCTTGCATCCTTTCCCCATCCATGGATTGTATCTCTTATTCTTTGTGGAATTAATGCTGCCTTGTAATTCGTACCCATCTGTGTACAACAAATCAACAATACACTCTTCATGTTACTGTATCCCACATCACTGTCCTATAAGTATCTATATATGTTGGAGTCTTCCTTCTTTCCACAGGGTTGATGTTTGCATGATGAAAAAAAAAAAAAAAAAAATCATACCTGGGTAACAAGGGCATAGAGTGGTAGGGTGCTATAGCTGCATAAGAATTGGCCCACAAACCTGGATAATGGAAACAAGAGACAAGAATAATGAGAGGTTTAATATAGCATGAAATCCATGTCAAATTCAATGGAATTTTATTCATACCCTAAAAACAGGCGTATGTACACGAGCATGTGGTTCTTGATGAAACAAGAATTATAACCGAATTGCCACTGGAATAACAACAGTACATAGTTGATGTATAAATATATATAATGCAAACTTTTGAGATGAAAAGATGTTAGGGAATTAAGTAGAAGAAATTACCCAGAACCAAAAGAAAGAAGCTAGTTCAAATGCGTTCTGCATACGAATTGTTATGAAGTTGTATTACTAAAAACTAGGATGGTGTATTAAACAAATAAATAAAAGTAGAATGCTATTTCTTGAATTTAACTGTAAAAACGAATGCTTGATGGAAATGAAGAATCAAATGGAAGGAAACTACACTAACCTGGAAAAGAATAAAGTGGATTAACTTGAGCAAAAGTTCTGGCTTTTTAAACCAAAAGAGTTCATCTCGAGGCTTTAACCTTCTTTCAGAGAAGAATCCCCCTGTATTTGCAGCACTTTCAAGTGCCAAAGTAGCAATAACATGTTGCAGTTTTGTCCCCACTAGCAAAACAAGCTGAACATAAACACACACACACACACACACACACACACGCACAATCAGAATATGAAAAAAGCCAATAGCTAACAATGATAAAAGTGACTTCTTACAGTTATAGGAATAATGGCAATCCAAAAATAAAGATTCGATCCTGCAAGCAAGGTACAATTATTTAGTTCATCTGTGCAAAAGACGTGAATGTCCTCACCATTGAAGATTACCCTAGAAAGCTTGTTCAGTTGCGTGTAAAATTAATACCTTTTATGTTAAAGAGCATAAAGGCCACCACAAATCCCCAGAGTGGGCCACTGCAAGGAATCAAGCAAGCAAAAACTTGAGCAACTTTAGATTAATGAATAAATGAACAAGAAAGAAAATTACTAAAAATGTGATTGAATGAAATTCCCTAACCTTACTCCAACTATTCTCTGAAATTCTTCTTCCATGGACCGAATCATATAACTGTGAAAATCATATTTTGATGTGAGGTTGTGATTCTGCCAAGAACAAGAAAAACAAACAACTGTGAACAATAATTTCAAGGTACAAGATTCAAAAATAAGGTTTATGGCATAACACAAACACCTATATTGAAATTCAATTAAGGGGACTCAACTTAATATATTACAAAGTTAAAGGTGTACTACAGAAATATACAACTTAAACAACTTAGCACAGCTTAAGGTTTCATACCATGATGAAGGCTTTACGTAGAGTAAGGTAATCTGCACGAACAACAGAACGCCCAAATTGTCGAAAAAAACATATCTGTAAACCATTTTAAACAAAACATATATGGACCATAGTCAATGTAACTAATTTCTTGTAAGTTATAATGATTGTTAAAAGGAAAATAAGAGTATAAAAATGTAATGTACTTACTACTTACCATCCAAGTAACTAAACCATTTGTAAGCAAAGGGTTGGATGAGTGGAATTTGACCATAGTTGACTGCCTTCGCATTGTCTCATCTCTTGATATTTCTGCACAAGTAAACAAGTTGTTACTAAATAACATCATCTAAGATGTTGACTCAAAACTAAAACAATTGTTATATTAAAGAATGATTATCAATTAGATATATAAAGTACAAGTGTATAATACCAGTTAGCACATCATGTCTGTCCACTTGAGCCTCATCTTCCCATCTCCTCCAACTATGGATCTGACAAAATTACAAGAAACACAAATTCAATACTTATTATTGAGTAAAAAAATATCAATTAAGAGTAAAGAAAAGTAAATAAACCTTCACAACAGCCAGAAGCATTGTTAAGCAGCTGTAAGACACATGAGTAATTGCCATGACAAATATAAATCGATGCAGTTGTTCAAGGCCTTCATATGATACAAAAGGCTCATAATCCTGTAGATTTGAATATACAAAAGGGATAAAGGAAAGACAACAAGCAAGATGTAGAAGCTTAATTGTTACATATTAGATGACTCACCTTTTGACAGGTGTTCTGATTCAATACATTCAATACTCTCCTTTGAGGATAAACAAAATTCATCAAAAGTTTCCTTTTACTACCCTCCATTTCTTCATCGACATCAGACCTAGTGCATGGAGCAAATGCACTATTATAGTACTTTGAGGGGATACAAATATTCGATATTATGCTAGAGGTGGCTGTAAGGAGGAGAGATATGAAGCCAAGAAGCATCAATTCTGCAGATAAACAACCAAAACATGATGATCAGAAAGATGACGTGGCATATCAGGAGTTCAGAATTCATTTGGTTCCATATATACCAAAAAAATACCTTCTTTCATTTTCTCCACGGCAGCAAGCAATGGCTTGCGATTTGTTTTCCTCAACCACTGTCATGTTAACACAAATTATCATGAAAACAATCAAAACTTTAGCCTAAAGATTCATGACTGAAGATATGGGACCAAATATTTGAAATATATTTTAAAAAACCTAACAAAGATGAAGAACACTTACGTTGCTCAAACGATGAATTGATCTCTCTACAAGCAAGGAAACAACAACAAAGATGGTCAACACGGTAGCCACAGACCATGTTGGAGTCAAAGCCAAAGATCTTGATTCTTCTTTGTCAACCTCGGACGACATTTTTCACAAATTGTTTACCCAATTTGTACGCCTGTAATTAAATTACCCTCTAATAACACCCTTATTCGAGCTCTTTACAACCGAACATCCAATTACCCATAACATAAAAAACGCATACAGCATATAAAGCGCTTTCTTGCTTCTTCTTTTTCTTTTACCCAGAAAAGAAGTCTTTGATTACTTGAGACCAGCCGTCATTGGCTCCAATCCAAACCGAAATCTTACAATGCAAGATTCGTGTTTTTTTTCTGAGTGATCTCTAATGGACTTTTAGTCGAACAGGCTGTGTGCACAGCAGATGATCCAAATGCGCGACACCCACTTTTCTTGGAGTTAAGTAGTAACATATATAAAAAAAAAAGTTACTTGTAGATGCAGTGCACGGTTGAGGAAATCAAGATTTGCACTTTCCAAATCGATCTTTAATCTTTACTTTCTTTGTATTTGTATCAAGATTTAAAAAGATTCAAAACAAAAACGAATCTTCACTGGTTTCCGAGATACCCAACTCTTTTTTCACTCAGTAATAAAGAAATATTGAAATCTAGAAAGTACCCAAACTCTGCTTTCCCTCTGTAATAAAGAAATACACAAAGTACACCAGGGATGTGTAGTTAACATATAATTTGTTATTTGGGGGATTTTTCTGAGCAACTTCGGAGAGTAGTCAATAATCGCTACAACTGGACTCCGAATGAAACACACTCACCGGCTCTGTCTTCCGTTTCTCTCTCATAAAACACGAACTAATAAATACAGAGGGAGAAGATTGCGGGGCGGTCTAATGTTGCGCGTAATTAGCGGAAACGACGTCGGTTCTTTGATTGGCGAGCCTATAGTTTCCAAAAAAGAAAAGAAAAACAACACTAATTAATCATATAATAAAATGGTCCATGTGATTTATAAAACGTCATAAAGTTAGTCTTCATTATTATTATTTTTTCCTAACGAGGATGACTCGTATTGTTTTAATTTTCTGTGTGGTGGGTCATTAATGTCTGTAAAATAACTTTTATCTCATTTTAATTTTATTTTACCTTTTTAAACTAATTTTAATTACAAAAGTAGTAAATAATTTTTTTCTCTCTCTCAACAAACCAAGACATCCTTTCATCATCTCACCACATAACCTAGCTCAATCAACCCATCAACGACAAAACCACATCGGAAAAGACCACAGTGCCACCTTCCCGCCACTCTATTTATACACAACTTTCCCACCACTCTATTTACACATAGGCATTCACCATCGCACTATTATGAGTATTATCTGAATCATCATCTTAACTAGTATGCACTTCAATTTTCATTTTAAAAACCTATTGATTCAAAGGAACCCATATCAAGAAATATAGATTTACCAAATGGGGTTTCTAATTGAACCTTAAAACCTTACGGAACTTCAAATATTATTTACCTTTTTTCGGATTATATGTTTACCAGAATGGTTGTTTTGTGGAAGATATCGAATGGATTGGAACTAATAACTTTTTCGATTCCATTCCTAACACACTTTCATCTTGTTGGAAACTAAGAAAACTAAGAGCTGTAAATCTCGTCAGAAACATATTTGAAGGTGAAATCCATAAGGACAATCCTAATACAGAAAAGAAAAATTAGGGGCCAATCACATAATTGTTACCAAACCACATAAACATTTTAGCCATTCATTATATTTATGTTATTTGTCTAAAACATATCTTTTATAGGTATTTACATAAGAAAAGACTAGGATTTTTGAAAATTGTATTTTCTTGAATTGGGTTTCTTTCAGAAAAAAAAAAAAATTGTTTTTTAAGAAAAAGCAGTTCAAAAATTTTGAACTCGTATTTTACAATAGTTTTGAAATCCATATATGGTTCAAAAATATATAGTTAAAAAATTTCGAACTTAATCATGATTTTCAATTTTTTTTTTTTTTTTTTTTTTTTTTTTTTTTTTTTTTTTTTTTTTTTTTTTTGTGTGTGTGTGTTAAGTTTAGACCTTATTTATGATTCCTTGTCTTTATTAATGAGTTTCAAATTAGTCATTTTTGTTATATATTTTTTGAAATGATATAATAGAGATGATTAAAAAAAGGAAAAAAACTTAATTTTCTTCATTAAAAATCAAGATTTTGGAAGAAAATAAGATAAAAAAAAGTATTTCTAAAATGAAAAAGTTATCACACAATCATTTCCTAACAACCCATTTATATGTAAAAAACATAATAAGAAAAAACATGGTTATTTTCTTCAAGTTGTTCTGAAAAGTGGTCAAAGAGGTTGATACTCAATACCTCTATTTTTATGAGTTATTCGCTTCCTTGTATTTGTGGTAACCCTTATTTCCTCGAATTTAACAAAACGGTTACATGGCTCATGAAAACAACCTTTCAAATCGCGAGTGTAAGTCTATAGGTCCCTTATACAAAAGTTCATTCTTATTCTTAGGGGTTGGCTAAAAAGACACTCCATTTTACCATTTAGACAACCCTAATTAAGTTTTTAAGTATTTTTATTGGTTTAAATTGCATTATTTTCCGAAAAAACTGATTACAAGTAGTTGATTATAGGTTGACTTTTTATAAAAGTGATGATAGGGTGTCTAAGGGGTGTCTTATTAGCAGCACCCTATTCTTATCATCTGTTCGTCATGAAAATTTGAACAAAGATCATCATACAATTTTGTGTTTTTTGATCATCCGATGACAAACATGATTATGTAGATGACAAACATGATTATGTTGCAACTAAGTAATCAATAATCATTTATTTGTCAATACATTTAACAATTACAATTGTTTCAAAATATTATTGCGAGTTGGTTTTAGCCTTTTTAAGTTATTTTATTTTCTTAATTTAGTTTTATAAGCATGTAATCCTATTTCCTTAATTAAAATTGAAGTAGTTTTAATTGATTATTCATCAACATGAAAGATAAACACACTCGCGATTGTAAGACATGTATGCAAAGGGTGCACGGGTGTGTTATAATCACTCGTGTTTTAAACTATTCATGTTGGGTAACAGTATGTGCACGAGTATGTAACTTTATTTTTGCTAGTATTTCTATATTTATCTATATGAATCAAGGTTATTTCTTATTAGCAGACTATGCTAACCATAAAGGGAAATATGCATTTTATGGACGATATAAGGCATAAGTTGTCTCTTTCTTCCGCTAGTATGACCCTATTTAAGACCTCTAGTTTTGTGTCATGGTTATATATCCGAAATACACATAGGGACTCACGGCTTATCCACACAATGTTAATTTCAATTATCCATGATGACCATTACAATTTTGTGTTGTGGTTTCAAGGTGGATGATGCGACCTGCATTTTGGATGCAACGAGTTTTGCCTTGTCATCGGTTTACATTTTGGGAGTGCTACATTGGTAGATGGGAATATCCTTGTATGTATTATTCATGGTTTAATGGTTTAATATGAGACAAAACTATATGTTTAACTTTTATCTCCATTATTTTTAATTTATTTAGGTACTAGTTGTAAAACCCATGTACTATATTAGTTTATATATATATATATATATATATATATATATATATATATATATATATATATATATATATATATACACACACACACACACTAAGTGTAAGACCCATGTATTACATGGGTTCATTTTAAAGAAAAAAATATGAAATTCTAAACATTTGAGAAGTTTGAATTTATAAGAAAAAAATACAAAAATATTGAATTGTTAAAATTAAATTGTTTGTTTTTCTTTTAAATTAAACAAATAATTTAGATAAATAAACAAAGGAAACTAATGAAACTTTAATTTTAGAATATTTGAAATTAGAAAGAAGTCAACTAATGAAATTGATATATATTTATTATTACATATATTGCAATTATTACACTTAAATATTATGTGGAAATTAATAAAATGAAAAAAACCACAAAATGTTATGTGGAAAAAAATTAATTGAAAATAACCACAAAATGACATGTGGCCAAATCAATGAGGGTGTGACATGTGACAAAAGGTTTTTTATTTATCAGAGATGATATATATATATATATATATATATATATATATATATATATATATATATATATATATGTGTGTGTATGTGTGTGTGTGAAGAATTAAAAATTTAAAAGGTTTGAATTCAATAGTAAAGAGAGAAAAATATTTAATTATTAAAATTACAATGTTTATTTATTTTTTACATTTAAGCAAATAAATTAAAAAAAATAAACAACTATTGTAAAATAAATGGATTCAATTTAGAAATCTAGAAATTATAATAAAAGTTGTATTAATTAATTTGATATGTATTTATTATTATATTTATTACATTTAACTATTATATAAAATTTAATAAAATGAAAAAAAAACCACAAATAACATGTGGATATAATTTAATTTAAAATTACCATAAAATGACATGTGACATGATAAAATAAGAAGATAACAAATAACAAAACGTTTTTTTTATATTTCTGGTTTAGTCTAGCAATTTCTCTTTGGTTCAATGCACATGGCCAATCTCTCAAATCTTGTGCCACTGTAACACAAAACATTATGTTAGACTTCTAGCATATGCTTATATTTTAGGCCTCATTAGTTACGAATGACAAAACATGATACAACATATTGAACCTGCACTGAACATTATTGTGATGTGACTGACATGTACAAAAAAAATGCAATTTTGTGTTTCAATAAAAATGTGGAACTGCCACTCACTTTCAATCTCTCGCATATCTCGTTTCCTATTGATCTAAAATAGCCTAATCAAACTTATCGAGTCTTCCATTTCCAATAATGTCCCTTCTAACAAATCGTAACCTTAAAAAAATAGATTTAAGTATAAAAACAAGTTGACCCTTTTATAGTCGAAAATATTTTAAATTTTGATAGCTTTGTTCCATTGATCAGTGGGTTTGTAGATCTAAGATGTATATGACGACTTCTAACCAAACATAAGACGACTTATACTTTTATTTTATAACTTTTCTGTAATATTATTTTAAGCATGTACACATGTGGATTTTAATATATTATATTTAAGCATGTATTTGCACATCCACATGTGCATATGTTTTTGGTAAACTGAAAGAAATAATTATTATTACCAACTACACCCTTTGAAACTAATGCATATTGAGATACTATGAATTAATCGAAGTACAACTGAGAAAATATTGAACTACCAAAGCTGACAATATCCAACTAGAGTTTTTGATGATGATGAAGTAAAGTGATGAGTTTTGAACCTATAAATCAAATAAGATGTTCCACGTTTTATATTTGTATATTCGGGGTTAGATCTGTTAAATATGTTTTAATCGATGTTTGCTCATTTTACTTTTGAGTTTAGATGGTCTAACACCCCAAACTATCTAATAAGTTACACAATAATAAACACAATGAGATAATGACTTAAAAATGTAATATATTTTTTGATTTGTGTACATTTGGTCACTGAGTTTTTTTCCGTCTATATTTACCCCTTCAGCTTGTTAAATTGTACACATTCAGTACTTATGACCGACTACTCCAAATTATCCGGTAAAAATGACTTAATATGGTAATATATTTCTCACTTTGTACATATTTAGTCCTTAATATATATATATATATATATATATATATATATATATATATATATATATATTGCAAAATAAGTCATTTTTGTTTTTATACTAATTCAGTACTTATGAATGATTTCCTTAAGGTTTTTCTCATGATATCTTACGTGGGACAATCATTAATGAGTTGTATGGGGCTTTTGATGCTTATGTCCATCGTGATCTTGACTACTTGGTTGTTTAGGTTATGTGTTTTGAACGTCATAACTTCTTCATACGATCTCAGATTTTAACGATCTTTATATCCATGCGTTC